AGTTCGGGAGCTTGCACATTGGGCTCTCTGCTCTTACCACAGAGCCTGCTTCAGATCCTCTGTCTTTCCCTCTCTCCGCCTCCTTCTACTCTTGTTTCTTCTCTCTCTCTCTCTCCAAAAAAAAAAAAAAATCTCTCCTGCTCCTATATAACCATATATATATAAATGAAAATAAAGTTAGGATTAGCTTTACTGAGTGGCAGTATAGTAGCCAACTAGGGGTTTATATCTGAGGTGCTATTGGCTTTTCCCAGTACCCTGCCATGTGTGAGTATAGTCAGGGTGGAGGGGTGAAATTGAGAACTAGGACTAAGTAACTGGTGGGTGGACCCTCTGTGCTGTCATATGTGTGTGCTGTATATTTTTTTAGAGAGCCAGAAGAAGAAAAGAAAAAAGGCCCACACAATTCTTATAGTTGCCTAGATGGACATTACAGGCTGTTGGTGACTTTCCATCCACATAGGCCACAACCATGAGCTGGTTACACCTCTGAACCCCAGGCCAGCTGCCCTCCCTGAAGGCTGGCCAAAATGGTGGCTAAGGCAGGAAGCCCTCAGCACAGGAACCCATCTGTTGTGTGCTGCACTAATGAAACCTGGGAAGATCACTGCACTTCCTCTAGGCCTTGGCGAGAAGGCCATAACTGGAGGATCTCTTTGACTGGGGTGTTGTCGGTTAAACCATGTTAATAAACATGAAGCCCAACACCTGGGAGTTCTCAGTGACAAACCAACTGCTGATGATTGACTTCCTCTACCACCTTTGGACATTGGCCTTTGTAACAGAGGACTGGCGGGGGGGGGGGGGGGGCAGCAGGGGGAGGCCCAGTGTCCGCCATGGTCGGGTGGCTCGAGTTCTCATGTAATCACCTGAGCTGAAGTCTGTGTCCATGAGATCATGGATTGAAACTACATTCTAAGAATGTCCCTCTGATCCATATTTTCTCCGAATAACCTAACCTGAACCTTTTTTGTTTTTGGTACTTTTAAATATTTAAAAAATGTTCACCTCTACATATGACTAATGAAAAGATTCGAGAGTATAGTAAATGGAAAATCATCTCCAAGTTCATCGTCTCAAGATCAACCCCCTCTATAATTCTGAAGTGTTTCTTTCAAATGTCATGCTTTCCTCTAATTTAGATTATTTTTTCTATATATATATTCTTTTATAGTTTTTAAATAAAGTTGATATATAATTTTAATACGTATTTTTATAATAGTTTATAATATTGTTTCATTTAGTACTAATAACAATTTGATTTTTTTTTAAGTGATTTTTTTTTTTTATTTTTTAAATTTTTTTTCAGATTTATTTATTTTGGACAGAGAGAGCAAAACATAGGAGGAGGGGCAGAGAGAGGGAGGACAGAATCGGAAATCATGCTCCAGGCTCTGAGCCATCAGTAGAGCCCAGCGCCAGCACTCGAACTCCGCGGGCGGAGATCGTGTACCTTGGTTGAAAGTGGATCGGACTAGACACGACTGACCCACCCAACTACCCTATGATTGCGATTGAGAGAGAGAAAAAGAGAAGAGATAACAGGTAGTACATTCACGTGCCAGGGAGGGGCAGACTCAGAGAGGGGAGAGAATTTCCCCAACAGGCTCCTTGCTGTCGTGCACAGAACCCATGGTAGGGGCTTGATCCCAGGAACTGGAGAGATCCCTGACCGAGCAAACCAAGAGTTGATTGACGCTATAGCCACCTAGGTGCCCCCAACAATTTATTTCTAAAAGTATTGTTTATTGTTTCTCACTTTTAGATTCATCATTGACAAATCAAGTGTATATTGGTCTACTGATGATATAGTATACCATTAATCCATATATTCTTTAACTTGACTCTTGATATTGGACACTTAAGTTGTTTGCATTTTCTCGCCTAGTGATAATTTTGTAAGAGCATCTTGGACTAATAAACTTTTTTTCTGTCTTTAGGATTATTTTATAGGCAATGCCAGAAATAGGTCAAAGGGTAGGATTATTCAGGACGGAGAGTTCACATTCCAAACAAAGACTGTCGTCATCTAAACTACAAGCTATGTGGAAGCAAGAAGAAAGTAGGCTTCCCACCCCTGCCTGCTCTTCCCTGTGTAGGAATGTAGCCAGGGGATCTGAACCTGTGCTCCTGAGATTCTGTTTGGCATCGGGCTGGCTGTATTCTTTACCTGAGGTCAGGTCTCCCTTTCCTAATCCGTCCTGGCTAGAGAAAAGTATCATCTGATCCCCTTGCCTTGGGGACTAATCTGAATTCCTGATCCATCCCTCCGCCGCTGGCCTCAGAATCCTGGCCTCCTGCCAGCTCGCGTGTGTAGACTTAGACCTTTCTTGGCTACCTTCTCTGCGATCACGTCCATCTGCATCTCTCTTCCGCACAGTATAAACAGGAAGGTCCAAGGTCAGAAAGTGTTCCTTAGGCGACGGAGGCAACGAGAGGCAGTACTGCAGCACAGGAGGCCCATGCAGCGGAGGGGAGACGCGAGACCAGGACAAGACTGAAGTCAACCTCAAAGCTGGTGAGTATTGCCTTGAGCTGGCCTTTGTGACATCAAACGCTGCTCTGGGAGGTGGAGGCATTTGAGCCCTGATTCTCAGTTGAGCCCTGGGCCTGGCTTCATCTCTGCTAGAAAGGGCATCTTTTGGGGCTCCTCAGGGGCTTGAGTTCTTCTAGCCCGAGCCTGCCACTGACTATGCTGCCTACTCTGGCCTGGCTATTTTTCAGTCTCGGGGGTGCCAGGTTTATAAGGTGAAGGGCGGAGGGCTCAGCAGTCTGGTCCCCTCTGAAAGCCATAGTCTGAATGGGTTCTGTGCCAGGAGAATTGTATGAGGGGAGAGGACTAGGACTTGGGGGGCATCGGATAATGAGACAGCAGAACACGTTTGCGAAGGTAGGTCAGCCTGGTAATGCAGCTCCCAGCTCCCTGCTTGCAGCGGGCCCCGGCCCTCCAGTGTCTGTGAGCTAGGTGGAGGATTGTGACGCTTGCACACACGATTGCCCAAGGATTAGGAAGAGATAACTGTCCAGGATTTAGCATGCCTGGCAGATTATGAAGAGCGCCTCCATTATTCCATTACGTTATTAATACATTTAAAGGATTGGAGACTGTTATGACTTCTTACTGCTGCGTGAAGGCTTTCTTGCACAATACCAAAAGTCCCTCGAGAAATGTCCAGGTTGACTAATTCAGGGGCTCACTGGCATCATCATGGAGCCCCTCTCCACTCTGCCAGCCTCAGTGTGTCACGCCTCCCTCATTGACACCCCCACAGTCAATGAGATAGTGCCTGTCTCCCTACCGAGTGTGTGCTTACTGCAGGTGGGGCCACCCCTTCGAAAGAAGAGAAGACTTCCTGGAAGCCCTGCCCAACTGAAAGCCTCTGACATCACGCTTGGCCTGACACTGCATCAGCGCCTCGCTTCATAGCAGTCCTCTGCAGAGGAACGGAGGCCTCCACTATGTGAGCGAGGCCTTCGCCTCAGTCATGCAGCGAGTACAGATAGAATCGGCTGACGCATACCATCTTCCAGTTCGCTTCCATGTGGAAAACTTCCACGCCCCGCCAAGAAATTCTCTGACACCACTGGGTGTCCTACAGTTAAACTCCGTCTCTCAGGTTCCAAGGGTAAGGGTCTCAGTGCACAAGACTTGCCCCCTTCCCCCCCACTTCGGCCTTCAGAAAGTCAGGTTATCACCTGTGCCTCTGGCTGGGTTATTAATTAGAGTTCCCCACCGACCCCTGCGACGATTTGCTAGAGTGGCTCACCCGGAACTCAGGAAACATTGCTTCCTAAAAAAAAGAGACATAAAGGATTTAGCTCAGGGGCAGCCATATGAGAAGGTCCATAGGACCAGGTGTTTAGAGAAGGATGTGGAGCCTTCCTTCCGTGTCCTGTGCCAGTGCACCTCCCCAGAACACTGCATGTTCACCAACCTAGAAAGCAGCTTTAAACCCAGTTGTTTTTGGGAGGTGAAACTGGGGGGAGGCTTCATTACCTGAGTGTGATTGAGTAAATTGTTGGCCATTGGTGATGGAGACTCAACCTCACGGCTCCCCTCCCCCCTCCCAGGGGAGCTCAGTACGCAGCTGCCAACCCTCTGGTCATTTGGTTGGCTCACTGATCTCATCATAGGTCAGTGTAAAAAAGTCCTCTCTCATTAATACTAAAAAAGGCTCTCTCTCTCATCACTTTGGAAGAACTCAAGGGTTTAGGAGCTCTGTATTGTAGTAACAGTAGTCTAAAGATTAAATATTTAGTTCTTGTCTAAATCATGAAATCACAGCAGGAGGGGGTGGGGAGGGGATGGAGGAGTGCTGGCTGTGGCATCTAATATCATCCTGCCTCAGAGGACATGGGCTGTGAAAGCCGAGCACCTGTTTCAGGTGGATTTGCCTGATGTACCCTGAGCTCCCACAGAAGAGGAAGTGGGGGCATAATGAGACCACTGTGAGGGACTGTGCCCTGGGTTGTGGTGGAGAGGGAGAGAAGGCCTCTGCAGAGACATGGAAAGCTACTTGACGGGTACAGAAGGAATGCTGGTTGAGCTAGGCCCTCTGGGAAATATGAACAATATGGGGTCCTTGCTCTTGGAAATTTTCAGTCTAGCGGGAAGACAATTTAAACCAAAACTTAGAAGAAGAACAACTGGT